GTTCAGTTCAGTCGCTCAGTCATGTCCAACTCTTCTCGACCCCATGGACTGCAGCGTGTCAGGCTTCCCTGTCCATGACCAACTCCTGGAACTTGCTTAAACTCATGTCCATCATGTCGGTGACCCACCCAACCATCTCATCCTCTGTCGTCCCCTTCTCCTGCCTTCAATCTTTACCAGCATCAGGGACTTTTCAAATGAGTCAGTTCTTCGCATCAAGTGGCCAAAGTATTGGAGTTTCAGCTTCAGCAACAGTCCTTCCAACGAATATTCAGGACTGACTTCCTTCAGGGTTGACTGATGTGATCTCCTTGCAGTCCAAGGGACTCTCAAGAGTCTTCTCCAACACCACAGTTCAAAAGCATTAATTCTCTGGCACTCAGCTTTCTTTATGGTCCGACTCTCATATTCATACATGACTACTGGAAAACCATAACTTTGACTAGACAGACCTTTGTTGGCAAAGTAATGTCTCTGCTTTTTAATACATTGTCTAGGTTGGTCATAGCTTTTCTTCCAAGGAGCAAGTGTCTTTTAATTTCAAGACTGCAGTCACCATCTGCAGTGATTTTGGAGCCCAAGAAAATAAAGTCTATCACTATTTCCACTGTTTCCCCATCTATTTGCCATGAAGTGATGGGACTAGATGCCATGATCTTCGTTTTTTAAATGTTGAGTTTTAAGCCAGCTTTTTTCTCTCCCCTTTTACTTTCATCAAGAAGCTCTTTAATTCCTCTTCACTTTCTGCCACAAGGGTGGTGTCATCTGCATATCTGAAGTTATTGATATCCTTCCTGGCAATCTTGAGTTCAGCTTACGCTTCATTCAGCCCAGCATTTCTCATGATGAACTCTGCATATAAGTTAAATAAGCAAGGTGACAATATACAGTCTTGATGTACTCCTTTCCCAATTTGGAACCAGTCCTTTGTTCCATGTCCAGTTCTAATTGTTGCTTCTTGACCTCCATACAGATTTCTCAGGAGGCAGGTAATGTGGTCTGGTATTCCCATCTCTTTCAGAATTTTCCACAGTTTGTGGTGATCCACACAGTCAAAGGCTTTGGCGTAGTCAATGAAGCAGATGTTTTTCTGCAACTCTCTTGCTTTTTCTATGATCCAGCAGCCATTGGCAGGACGTTGATTTCTGGTTCCTCTGCCCTTTCTAAATCCAGCTTAAACATCTGGAAGTTCTCGGTTCACATACTGTTGAAGCCTCACTTGGGAGAATTTTGAGCATTACTTTGCTAGTGTGTGACATGAGTACAATTGTGCGGTAGTTTGAACATTCTTTAGCATTGCCTTTCTTTAGGATTGGAATGAAAACTGACCTTTTCCAGTCCTGTGGCCAATGCTGAGTTTTCCAAATTTGCTGGCATATTGAGTGCAGCACTTTCACAGCATCCTCTTTTAGGATTTCAAATAACTCAACTGAAATTCCATCACCTCCACTAGCTTTGTTCACAGTGATGCTTCCTAAGGCACACTTGACTTCACATTCCAAGGTGTTTAATCACACTGATTCTGGCATGAAGGACAGCAGCTGGGCTTGCAGCTATCTGAATGCTTTGAGGCTATCAAGTTTTATCTGCAAGTCTTACAGTCTCTTGTAGTTTTTGCATTATAATCTTGCTGTTACTCGTGGCTTTACTGAACAACTGTATTAAAAGAAATGAAGGTAGTTGTAGAGATTCTGTTTGGTTTGCTCACACATGAAGCCAAATAAGTTTAGGTGAAAGGTACAAATCAAGGCTTAGATCCCCTTCTGCCTCCTTGTGTATTTCGGCCAAACACAGAAAAAAAAGAATTGAAATGACATCAACAGTACGGTTTCTGAAGTGGGAGGGACACATGAACCTATGTTAAGAGCATCAAGATTGCTTTGCATTGAGTTCTGAAAGAAAAAAAAAAAACATTTAAGATAGTATGCCACTTTTCAAAATTCTCTTAGAAATATACAAGTAATAAAGTTTAAAATTATAGATCTAGGATTTGCTAATGGAGTGGATGGCTGCAGGTGTGTAGAAAATGAGGTAACTAGAGGATGTTAGGGGGCTGAGTATTGAAAGGGTTGTCTTCTTGGATACTGACACCAGAATCACCATAGAAGAAAGCTGAAGAGAGGCAGAAAGTCCAGTGCTAAAATCTTCAAGGCGGGAGGGGGGATTGGGATGGGGAACACATGTAAATCCATGGCTGATTCATGTCAATGTATGGCAAAAACCACTACAATATTGTACAATAATGAGCCTCCAATGAATAAAAATAAATGGAAAAAAAATTTAAAAATAAATAAAATCTTCAAGGAGTGAGGAGTAATGCAGAGGTCTATAAATAACCGTGAAAGCTAGGGTAGAACACTCTAACAGCATGAGTTTCAAGAGTTGGAGAGTTATAGGGAGGAGAGGAGGACAGCCTGGCTGTCCAAAAGAGGAACTGGGAAGAGGTTCACTCTGTCTCCATTCCTTGGTCATATGATCTGGGAAAGAAAAGAGCTCTCACTCAAGAGGCAAGAGTTAGCACCCTTAAGGAAATACCATGTTTTGGGGAAGGGAATGTTCAGAGAAGGGGTTGAAAATATCATTTTGCAGATGATGCCCCTTAAGTTTAGGAGGTTTGGGGCATGAGGAAAGGTATGAGCTTGAATCAGCTGAGGGGGCATGAATGATGATGGCCTTGGAGTCCTGGACTTGTGGAAGCCAATATAAATAGGGGTATAGGACACGACAGGACTAAGCGAGCTAGTCTCTAAGGCGAATCACCACAGCTGGGCCATGAGTGTAGGGAGAGAGTAGGGAGCCTTGGCAAAAACACGTAATCAGTGAGTCTTGCTGTCAGACACGACGGTATTGGCGCGGAGGCCAATACGGGGTGACATCACTGTGGAGGGGTCTCTTGGGTATCACCTGACAACTCCGCACATACTCTTATCTTCCATCTTAAAACAGCAATAGAAACGTCCTGCCCCAGACCCACATCGCACTCAGGTTACAACTGCATTTCTCTGCTCCCAAACACTGGAACCCCTCCCAAGAGCCACTTGTACTAGTCGCCTTCCTTACCCTGATTTCTTTCCTTAACTACTCCATGCTGGGTTTTCATCACTACTCCAACAAAACACCTTTTCTCAAGTTCACTATGAATCCTTTGTCAAAACGTTCAACTCTCCACCTCCACGTTTTTTCTCAGTAGAATTAAACACTACTGAACCCTCCTCCCTTTAGAGATCTGCTTTCTTTTTAGGTTTCCAAGACTACGTTCATATGGTTTTCTTCTTCTTTCACAGGATGCTCCTTCTCAGTCTGTTTTGTAGGTTCCTCTCTCAACCAGAGCTCTAAATAGTACCCAGGTCCCAGTCCTGGGATTGCTTAAGTTGAAATATAGTTGACATAAAGCATTATGTTAGTTTCAGGTATACTATGTAATGATTTGACATTTATGTACATAAAACCATCACAAGTCTAGTAACCATCTGTTCTCAAAGTTAGTAGACTATTATTGACCACAGTCCCTATGCTGTACATTACACCCCTGTGACTTATTCACAACTGGGAGATTTGTGCCTGTTAATTTCCTTCACCTATTTTGCCTCCCCTGCTCCCCACACCACCGCCCACCCTGCTCTCTCACTTCTGGTGACCACCCATGTGTTCTGTCTATCTGTCTGTTTTCATTTTCTTAATATTTCACATAGCAGTGAAATCATATGGTATTGGTCTTTCTGACCCACTTCACTTACCGTAAAATATCCTCTAGATTCATTTATGTCACAAAGAGCAAGATTCCTTTTTTTTTTAATGGCTGAATAATATTCTATTCCATGTATACCACATCTGTATCTGTTCATCTATCAATGAACACTTAGTTGCTTCCGTGATCTTTAGTATCTGGATGCTTTCCAGGTCATAGAGCAAAAGCAAATTTTCACTTTTGTGTGTTTTCAGAACAGTTTACATGTCTAGCTCCTTTTGGGTAACATACATCTGCTCATATAATTAACACTATTGGATAGCAAATGTCTATTGGACCTGTATTCTAGGAAGAAATTAACAAAAGAAATGTAATTTCAACCCAATTTCCTAGAGATTCTTAGAATCCTTACTTCTGAATACTGGCCCCAGATTGCTATTACATAAATATTCTTCTCATAACTCAAAGCTCTTCTCGCTTAGGAATGTCTTAGTTAAGGGTAAAAAAATCTTACAAAAAAAACCTGTTTAATAAAGGACTTTAACATTTTACTAGGCAAAAGATGTTTGTTTCTCTTGCCACAAAAACCAAACAGAAAACAGTGAGTGTTACTAATGTTTTCTATTTATTCATTAATAAAAAGTGCATAGTACAAGCCCTTTTTCCCAATCCAAGTACTCAGTAAAAGATTACAATAAACCCTGGATGGCACGGACATGATTTGTTTGGCATGATTTAAACATTTAAAAACAGCAGTTAACATTTGGTACATCACATGACCACTTTTGCTTTTAACAAAGTAATCATCAGACACAGTAACAAATACATATGACTTTTCATTTAGAAATGTTATAAAGTTAAGACTAAACCTACTATTGCAACAACAAAAATTTCACCCATTAATTTAAACTCTCTCGATTTCTCCTTCAAGTTGCTGTTTTGTGTCTTAAGCTGAGCTGGTCAAATTTTAGCACATATTCATTTAGAGTGACAGACTTTGATTCAGGGTGTGAGACTTCTGAGGTTCCTTTGAAAATAATGGACCTGTATTCTAGGAAGAAATTAACAAAAGAAATGTAATTTCAACCCAATTTCCTAGAGATTCTTAGAATCCTTACTTCTGAATACTGGCCCCAGATTGCTATTACATAAATATTCTTCTCATAACTCAAAGCTCTTCTCGCTTAGGAATGTCTTAGTTAAGGGTAAAAAAATCTTACAAAAAAAACCTGTTTAATAAAGGACTTTAACATTTTACTAGGCAAAAGATGTTTGTTTCTCTTGCCACAAAAACCAAACAGAAAACAGTGAGTGTTACTAATGTTTTCTATTTATTCATTAATAAAAAGTGCATAGTACAAGCCCTTTTTCCCAATCCAAGTACTCAGTAAAAGATTACAATAAACCCTGGATGGCACGGACATGATTTGTTTGGCATGATTTAAACATTTAAAAACAGCAGTTAACATTTGGTACATCACATGACCACTTTTGCTTTTAACAAAGTAATCATCAGACACAGTAACAAATACATGTGACTTTTCATTTAGAAATGTTATAAAGTTAAGACTAAACCTACTATTGCAACAACAAAAATTTCACCCATTAATTTAAACTCTCTCGATTTCTCCTTCAAGTTGCTGTTTTGTGTCTTAAGCTGAGCTGGTCAAATTTTAGCACATATTCATTTAGAGTGACAGACTTTGATTCAGGGTGTGAGACTTCTGAGGTTCCTTTGAAAATACAAGATATAGATAATTTATAAACACTGTAACATCGCATATCACAAAGACACTAAAAGTAACCACTGAATAGCTGTAGTTAATAGTTACTTTAGAAACTCTCTCCAAGTAGTTAAAATTAAAATATGACTTGTTGAACATGGGATAGTGTTTGGATAGATACATGATAAAATCTTTTACAATACACAGTTCTGTTTTTTCCACGTGGAAAGCAAAACAAAACAAGACAAACATTATTTTGCATAAAATAACATTAAATAACTCTAAAACAAAATAAACTATTAATGGCATTTGTGGGCTGTTTAAGAGCCAAAAGTGATTAAAATGTGAAGCTTTTTTCCAGGCTATTTAAAAATTATTGTAGCCATATTTAGGTGAATGTTTACAAGCCAAATAATGAGTAAGAGTGTGCTCAATAAAAAGGCCACATGTAGAAGCTTTACGGATAAAACAGAATAATATAAATTACTAATTAGGTTAAAAGGAACACCTTATGTGCTACCACATACTGTCTTTGTTGGGAGGGCAGGGAAATTGTACAAGCAGAAAAACCAAGACTAAATACTTCACTAAGAACTTTTGTTATTAATTAAATAGACGGTCCATATAGGAAAAGGTTAATATTCTAATGTAATGTCAATTAAGTCTATGTGACAGAAATGAAGAACTAGGAATAAGAACCCAGATTTCCAGGTCTCTAGCTATTACTAGATATTGTCTCCAGGTCACAGCCACTTCCTTCAAACAAAGTCTATTCTTTTTTTGTTTTGCCACTCCACATGGCTTACAGGGTCCCAGTTCCCTGGTCAGGGATTGAACCTGGGCCCTCGGCAGTGAAAGGATGGAGTCCTAATCACTGGACCACCAGGGAATTCCCCAAAGTCAATTCTTAGTTCTTTGTGAACCACAGATTCAGTGACACATCACTATCTCTTCCAGAGACTAGCTTTCTAGCAGCTTAAAGAGCAGACCATTACAAGATATGTGCCAGCCTTCAAAGTTCAGGGGCAAGGGGAGAAAAAGAAATGATTACAAGGGTCAGCTCCATCTTAGGCCATTCCTACCCTTTCTGCTTTAAAAGCTATGAAGCTGAGAAGGCTTTTAATAGGCCATATTGAGAGGAAAAACCTTAAATCTATGGTGTTCTTTTACCCAGGATTTGACTTACCTGTGTTATGATACCCCTCGATTAACACAAGTAATTAACAGTAGGTTATTTTATTTCAAGAAAAGTTGAGCACAAAGCCAAGATGCACAGGAGGAATGCAAGCATTCGATATAGGATTATATAATGAAATGAAGCCCTTAACAGTGTTTACAGCCTAGAACAGAATCATAATAAAGGAGAAAAATACCCTACGCGTGTCACGTAATTGTATCAGAGACTCTATTAAACAGTACAATAATATAGAGAAGTTTATTCAATTCATACAAGTAATTTCTCAGATCTATACAGTGAAAAGCTAAACTGATCTGGGAGGGGGAGCATCCTTACACTGACAGCAAAATATCTTCTAGCCCCCATAAATCATCTGCAATCATTTGTTAGAAAAAAATTCTATAACCACACAGGTCATGCAGACTTTTTATGCCATTTGTATTCATTTTCTTTCAAACTGAACAAAAACAAATGAAACCTTTTACATTTTTATACATTTCAAAATTTTCCTTATATTAGCGCTCCTCCCCACCCCACCTCAATCCACCCTATTACCAAACAAGAATGAGACAGAGGTTGAGAAAAAATATCCTTGATTGTTTCTCATTTCCCTCCTTTTCCCTTGGAGTAAACCAAGAATTCATTAAATATTTTTTGAAGTCAGAAAGATAACAAGACTCTAAATTTTTTCTTCCAAAAAAAAAAAAAAGAGTAAGTAAATAGCATTCAAATGTCAGTAACCAAGCAGGCCCCCAAGATAGCTTTAAGATCGTTTCATTTAACAGGGAAGTTTATAACACAAAAGCAGCTTCCTGAGAGGCACCCACTTTAAAAATAAGTTATAGCTTAAATTATTACTGTATAGATTATACCTAGCAAAGGTAGAAAGAATTAAATTTTTTCCTCCTTTCATGAACTGTGTAATAAGGCTAGTGTGCAGAGGCTTACAAATTTCATATAATGGACTGTAAATCATCCACCATATTTAAATCATGTTTATTTAAAGTTTTCTTAATATTAGACATTTTATGGGAATAAAAACTTAGTAAACAGTTATTTCTTTTCTCCTTTTCTTTAGTCACATAAATCATCTGTAGTGGATGATACAGATTTCAGCTGTAATTTGTAAAATATTCCAAAAGTTGTCATAGTCCTAAGAACTAGAGAAAACTGCCATCCACAAATAACTACCAAGGTAAATATAAATACAGTGTGGTTCTAATTTCCTTTCATACAATCTCAGGTAACCCCAAATAACTTTATAGATACCTTATTAAAAAAACAATTTTTAAACCCATTGAAACTACTTAAAATATTTAAATGTAGAGATCTCAAATTTCTTTCTATCAGGCCAGAAATTACCACAAAAATTATGATCACAGTTACAAACAGAACGAATGGAATGTTTAAGTTTAGGATAACCAAAAAAGCCCCATGTAACTTTTTAATGTAATCATTTACTCAAATATAGGAAAGGTGATGACACAGGAAGCAAAAATAAGCTCGCAAGTGAAATTTCTAGAAGCTCATGAAAACAATACCATCCCATACTGCAGATGCAAAAGAAAAAACAGTTCTAATGGGGTTAAGAGTACTCTGGTCATCTTCGTTCATTTGGTCGTGCAAGGTGTTAAACTATTTTCACTTCCCATGTCCACAAAGTTAGTCCACAGGAGGGGCTGGTGGATCTTGTCCCTGACATCAGAGAGAAAGAAATTATGAAATTGACTTTTTAACTTCCCCAGTGCAACCAATCTAACACACGCAGTAAGAACTGAGCAGCAATGCCCTCAGCTTCCCATCCTAAATCATATACTTATTTGGACTTCTCCTGTGTTTCTGCACAAGACAGCACTGTGATTCACCGACATTTGTCTCTTTCTTCTCTGTAGTATGGAAGAAAAGAAAATTTTGTAACAGTGATGTTGACTTAGGTGTAAGTGCTCTCCCTGACAGCTCCAGAGGTGATATTTAAACAAATTCAGGTAGTCTCATCCTTCTTGCTAATAAGGTGACTGAGTTCAGTACAATTAAAATGAAGCTAAAGACTTGTATTTCTCTCTATAGAACATCTGTCAGTGAGGAAATATGTGGCTCCAGCTACTACTGGTAGCTGCCCTAGAGAGACCAGAAAGGGATAAATAATGGTGTGAGGAAGGAAACTAAGTCTCTATTGAACTGTTAAAACTTTCTAAACACTGACCCTCCCTCTGGATTTTCTGAGGGATAAATAATGGTCTGAGGAAAGAAACTAAGTCTCTATTGAACGGTTAAAACTTTCTAAACACTGACCCTCCCTCTGGATTTTCTGATATGTACACCAATAAAGCCAATTACTTAAACCAGGCTGAAATGATTTTTGTTACTTGCAACAGAAAGCATCTGAACTGTAAAGGCAAGAGGAGAGCTTTTAGGAATCTTTAGGAAGATTCCACTTATTTATTACTCTGATATGCTATATGAAACCCCAGATGAGGATAATCAATTTTTCTGCTTGGAATCGGTCAATATGTCTTCATGCTTACTCCTAGAGCTGTGGGACTACCATTCCTAGAACTGCTGGTCTACAATGAACTAAGGATCAGGGGATGGTAATCTTGCATTTCTGTCACTTTTAAATGGCTTCTAATTTAGCTCCAAAAATTGAGCATGTTGCTCTTTGATATGAAAGTAACATAGCTGTACATAGAAAGAAAAAAGGCTAGGGAGAAAGCACGTTATCAAGACAACATACAAGCTGTTTTATGGATATACTCCTCTCCATGAAAACCTAAAAATAAGGCATTTTATATAGTGCTAATGATGGCTTCTTTCTTAACTAAAGTCAGCATGCTACATATCTAAATGTTCCAGTCCCAAAGCACTGACCAATTAACGTTGCATATTTGCTTTCTCCTATATAAGCAACTGGTCTAGTTAAACTTCTTTTTAATATTAGCAACACAAGATTAGGGGAAAGAAGCAATTATTTTAGGCTGAAGGAGGGAACTAGTGGGATAATTTGGTGTCCAACAAGTGAGTCCACCATGGAAACAGTTTTAAAGAGATAATACCCAAATCAAATGAGAAAGAAAAAAAGTATAAATATTGGCTCTGAAAACAATTAAAAAGAATCCTTTAATGGAGGCTCTATTAAAGATGGTAATCAAAAACTCCCTGTTGGGTCACTTTATCATATTTTTCATCTAGGTTCTAAAAATTGTTATAATCGTGACTATCAAGATTTATCAATATAAATGATTCCTACCACTCCTTTCGCCAGCTCAGCTGACCTATTGTGAGGTAGAACTGTCAGAATGAATTTGAGAGAAATAGGATGGGAAAGCAGGTTGAGCCAGACGGGCTCCATGTCTCTGCTATATCTGACATCTAGGACAGAAGGGAAAAAAATGGAGAGAGAGTGAATGAGTGAGTGAGTGTGTGTGTGTGTGCATGCACGTGTGCAAGTGGGGACATTTGAACTGTAGCTAGTAAGAGTATCTAGGAACCTTGGGACGTGAGAGGCAAGGAATCAACTGTGAGGCGGACAGAACTAGAAGCTGGAGGACTGAGATTTCAGAACTATCACTGTGGATTATTACGAACTGGACCGTTTTTTATGTTTCACCTGTGAGTAAACATTGAAATTCATCTTAAAATGATGTGGGGGCTACTGGTCTGTACTTCTCTTATGTGTAACTCCATGAAAACTAAGCCATTTCGAATTGCAAGACTTACTGGGACTACACAGGAAGAATTTAATTTACTCTATGAGCTAAATCTTCCTTTTGCTAATTTAGATATTTCAGTGAAAACAACTCCACCCCTTCAAGGCTACGCCCACCCCCCCACTCCAACAGATCTCTAATCCACAACACTTACATTATGAGGACTGGCTGGTTTTCCAGTTAGGTTGGATCCTCTGAGATTAGGAGGTCTCAGTAGAAACAAGATCACTGCAATAACCACCCAGGCCATCAAGATCATGGTAATGCTGACGCCGTTATCACTAGAGGGCCCTGGCACTGAAGACAGACAGAAAATGCATTTGCAACAAAAACCTGAATAACTACCATGTTGTTAGGTAAATGTAAACACAAACTCTAATGTTTAAATAACTTCAAAATTGTACTAATAGAAAAACTGTTAATAATTTTAAGAATTATTAAATATTACACCTTCAATTTCCCTTTCCTCCTGTGAGAAAATCTAAATGGTAAATGGTATAAAATAGTCCAAAGCCAGAGTCTATTAAATAAAGATTCTTAATAGTATAGTAGTTCTTAGTAATTTGGGATAATATAATCCTTTGAGAATTTGATTAAAAAAAAAAAGACTGTTTCCACTGTAAGAATCCATGCATACACATTCAACAATTTTGTATATATTAATTATTACAAAAGATTCATAGCAATTCATAGCTATACTGAGATCTGCAGAACCCAGGTTAAGACCACTTGATATACAGGAAAGCCATGCTAGGGGAGAGGGGATTATGCATTTTAATTACAGAAGCAGCCTGAAAAAAATAATAGAGCTTAAGGAAATGGGGACATCTTAGTTGTACATATATGAATTAAAGATCCCTTTAATGACATTTTCAAACAAAGAGATTAATTTGGCCTTTTTCTGGAAAAAGAATTTGGATTCAGATCTAGTTATTTTAAAGTCTATGCATTTATCCAGAGGGAAAAAAAAATCAGGTGTCTGTGTAGGTATCAGTCCCTCAAGGCAGCCATATCTTACTTATTTCAGAATAATAAGTACCTGGCTCATGGAACGAGCTTAACAAATTTATAATAAATGAAATGTGTATTAGAGAGTTCAAAGTGTCAGAAATGAAAATTCTAGAAGATCAGATTTCTAGAGAAAATAGTATCTATAGGTAGTTACTGTCAATTTTAGTTTTTAAATACCACTCAAATCTGTCCACTTTCAGCTCCACGGCCACACTTGTTCAAGCTACCATCACTTCTCGTCTGGTCTATTGCAATGGCCTCTTAACCAACCTCCTCAGATTTACTCTTGACTCCTCTAACTCTACCCTTTAAGCTGCTCCAAGAGTGATTTTTTTTTTAAAAGCAAAATATTATCTATTATTTTTATTACTAAGTTATAGTTAAAAGTTGAGCGGCTACTTTGAACCAGGCATTATCTTTCTTAATCCCTTCTAACAATCTTTTTATTTTTATTTTGGCTGCACCTAGAGACCTGTGGGATCTTAGTTCCCAATTTCCCCGACCAGGGATGGAACCCAGGCCATCAGCAGTCAAAGTGCCAAGTCCTAACTACTGGACCTCCAGGGAATTCCTTAGCAATCTTATTTTATAGCAAGTATATAATATCTTTCATTTTATAGATGAGGAAACTGGGGGATGGGGGGTTAAACCCCAGTGTCATACAGTCAGCCTGTGGCAAAGCTGGAGTGAGTTTAAATACAGTGGTCCCATTCCAGGGTCTGTGCTCTTAACGTCTTTGCTGTGTCATAATCCCTGACAGTATCACATAGAAGACAGGCCCCTGAAAATTATTACTCCTGTGGGTAGTAAAATCGGAAAATACAGATTTTAAAAGGATTTTTGATAAACTTACAACTAGCTGTTAGATTATATAAAGGCAGTCAAAGAAAGAGAACTGTGCAGTCTATGTATGATCACTTCATATAGTACACCACTCAGAAGTAAAATGCTACATTAGTTAGACCTCAAGTGTAAGCCCAATGCCAAGGCAGTGTGGAAAATGGGTCCCTTACTTTCTGATGCTCTTCACAAGTAAAGGACTATGAAGCTTCAGTTAAACCTCAGATCGCAAATTTACTAACGCCCAGTTCTAGACAAAGCAAACATGACAAAATGCTCACTCTCCATCTGAAGACTCTCATGGTGATAACATGACTCTTAGTTTCCCATTACCATCTCCTAGCTTGGTTCCTACTGCAGCCTTCCCCCCTTCCTGCACACTGCTGCCAAGAAGGTCTGCTTAGAACACTGCTCTTAACACATCTCTGCTGACGAACCAGTGACTCACTCTCCACCGTCCACTGCTTCAGCTCTGAACTCTTCAGCCTGGCCCTTCCTCATAAGACGTGGCCCTGCTCATCAATATTACCTCTTACCATTTCTCGGAAGAATCATCCTCTGCTCTAGTCAACCTCATTCCCTCTTCCTCCTTAAACCAGTGGATCCCTGGCTTGCCTGCCCAACGTAGCCTGTGACAACATCAAGGGCACCATTTCTAAGGCCCTGCCTCATATCATCTAATGCAGGAGCACCTCCGGGGTGGGGTCAGGAACCAACAATATTTTTAAAGCTTTCCAAGTGAATCTGATGCAATAGTTCAATGCTAGTTTGGCTGCCATTCACCAACTATGCAAACTCAGTCCTTCTGGGGACTCATTATTTTTCCCTGTCTGGCATGATCTCATTTAACTCATTCAACAACATCCTACAATCTGCTCTCGTCTGGTAAAAAAGAAATCTCCATTTTCTCCATTCTTTCCTTTCTTCTCTAGACTAGGGTAGCATTTCTAGTTTGAAAGAATGGTTTCCTACTTCTGCTAATTCATTAACTTTTTAAAAATGAGACCATCTCATAGCTGTTTGACTTTACCACCTCTTAAATAAATAATCTCTGTGCCTCGATTTTTTTTTTTAACCTGTGATATGGAAATATCACTATCATCTCACAGAATAGTTGTGAAGACAGAAATGATCAGTACATGAAAAGCAGCACAGTGCCTGGAACACAACAGGTATTCAATAAACATCAGCCGTTACTGATCTGTGCCCCAGCTGATCAACTTTAGGATCAACTTAAGCTTCCCTGGGGGCTCAGCGATAAAGAATCTGCTAGCAATGCAGGACACGAGGCAGGAACCATGGGTTCTATCCCTGGTTCGGGAAGATCTCCTGGATAAGGAAATGGCAACCCACTCCAGTATTTTTGCCTGGAAAATCCCATGGACAGATGAGTCCAGCTGGCTACAGATGAGTCACATAAGAGGTGAACGTGACTTAGCAACTGAGAGCAAGAAAAGACTACACGCAGAAAGATCCTGGTGTGAATGACTGGACTGGATAAGACGGTGAAGTGAGAATGAAGAAGGATCAGACATAAATGGCAACAAGATGAAAGAAGCACAACACTTGGCAAACGCCTGAAATGGTGATGGTAGGAGGAGGAAGAAAAAGGTGAGTGTGCCTCTGAAATTTCTGCAGGGCAGTAACATGCAGAATTCTCTACTTAAAAAGGTTAAACAGATACAGTTTTCCTGACCTCCTAGGTTTGATTAAGGGCATTCTCTCCTTCTCCAATAACTTAAGGCCCATATCAGAATAAAAGCCAAGAGCTGAACCAGGACAGTTGAACCGATGATCACAGTATTTTTCTTGTTTACAGCAGTAGCACAAACTTAAGACTGGATCTAGAAGGTACTTTACAAAGACATACTCTGCAGGGTTATTAACAAAAAGCTGAAAACAGAGCTAAATGTCTGCCAAGAGTATCCAATTAAGGAATTATGGTATGTGGGGGTTGGGGTGAAGCTGTAACACAATGGTGAGGGACGTTTACATGAGACAAGCAACAAGCTATTTCTTTTTTTTTTTTTTTTTTTATTTTTAAACAGAGGGGAAAAAACAGGTGAAAACTGTGTGTACTAAGAAAGGGGGGACAAGAGTATCCAATTAAGGAATTATGGTATGTGGGGGTTGGGGTGAAGCTGTAACACAATGGTGAGGGACGTTTACATGAGACAAGCAACAAGCTTTTTTTTTTTTTTTTTTTTTTGGTATTTCTTGACAGAGGGGAAAAAACAGGTGAAAACTGTGTGTACTAAGAAAGGGGGGTGGCAAATAATAAATATCTGCCTGTATATGCATAAAGAGATTGTGGAAAGATACACAGAAGGCCAATAATACCCGGAGATAGGACCTGGATAGATGGGAGAATATGAGTAGGAAATCATCTTTTCACTATACACTAATTAACTGCTTGAGTTTTGAACCATCTATTTTTGGATTAGAGATACTGGGTATCTGAACTGACCTAGGCTTCTTCATGAAGTCTCAGAACATATAAGCTACTCAAACTCCCTGGCACTGCATGCAGCCAATACAAACACGTATCAGGACCAGCTGTTGTACAGTCAACAGGGAGAAGTCAAAGGGCCTTTACATGATCTGGCCACTATGGTTTTCATCGTGATGACTTTTTGGTACTAAATATTCTAAACATTAATATAGTACCAAATAATCCCAGTATTAAAGAAGCACAATCACATGGGGGATATAAAATCCGTTCCCTTCACGGCCTAGGAATTATTTGCCTTAGAAGGATAAATACTTTTTACTCTATGGTCTAGAAAAATGTCTCACCATAAAAAATGTAAAAGGATCTTATACACTAAAATACAGTGTTCCATTCTACTCAATGGTTAAGTCCTTGGTTACAAGAAAAAGTAAATATTACAAATAAGATGTCAAATGGGATATTCACAGTGATGCTATTAACTTAGTTGGACGCAAGGAAGATGAAAAAGAGAGAGGATCTAACAGCTGGCAGATCCCGAGGGATTATTTCTCTTAACTTACATAGATGGCCAATGATCCAGTCATTCACGCCTGTGGGATGGAACCGCCATAAACTGCCTGAACAATGGCGTTCACAGAGCCTCTGGGCCAGGGCACGTGGAGTCAGCCAGGAGGCTGTGCACCCAAGACAGGGAGGCTCTGCACTCCTTCCCCCTGCACCCTGCCCTACACATCTCTCCCATTTGGCTGTTGCATAATAAGAATAAGAATAAGAATAAGAATAAACTGGGAACAGTAATTTAATTATTTTCCTCCATTCTGTTAGCCATTCTCACAAACTGCTGAAACCTTCTGTTTGTGGGGACTCCTGATTAATATATACACTTTATATATGAGCATAAGCTCATTGCTGAAGATTTAAAATACACAGAAAAATAATTACATATCACTCAGAGGAAACAACTGCTTAAACCATTTAAAGACATGGCTACTAGAAAGGATTTCCACCAAATGCTAAGAGGACTGGGGTGAGCGGAGCGGGCGGTGGACGACTGGCCAAGATAACTGAATTAATACTCAAGCTCTAGAGTCTTGCTTTTATGTTTGGATTAAAGAAGTGAAATTTCACTCACAGAAATAAGAGTATATTTGGTTTACAGGTGGGGCTGGCTCAAAGGTCACAAACACCACAAATACAATAAATATTTTTTTCCCCATAAGAAGTTCAATGAGATTAATTTCAACAAGAAAAACAGGTTTTAGTTTTTCTGCTGAGGCAAAAATCTGAGCTGCTTATCAGAGGGAAGACTGTAGGTTAGTGAATGCTACTGAAGAGGCAACGTAAAGAAACCTGGAGCAGGGGGATCGATCACCACCCACCATGCCCCAAACCTAATGGAATGTCTGTCCATTACTTTCTTGCCCAGAGGCATATGGTTATCGTCCTGTTGCACCGAAGGACTAACTTCTGACAAAGCTTCTACTTTGGGCCAGGCACTGTACAAGCTTCTACTTCTCGAAGTTGTTCCATTTACAGAATTTGATGGGATGCCCAGTTCACACAATACTAACAGTAATTAATAATGTAGAAACAAGCTCTTTATAATGATGCCTTGCTGTGTTTTGCTTTAGCCTCATATACATAATAAAGCGGCCCTCAGCTTCAGAGACATGACGTATAAGCAATTTGACGTATAAGTGCAATTTGGCAATATGTCAAAAGCCTTAAAAGGTACATAGGATGTTTATTTAAGTAATATTTATTAACAGCAAAAATATATTAGTAACCTAAGATTCCAACAGAAGGGAATTATTTGAACACTGGTACACCCTCATAATGAATTATTATTTAGTAAGTATTTTTAAGGTAAATACATGTTGATATAGTCACAATATAGTAGTGTATACAAAGTGATCCCATTTTTGAATTGTGCCAGGCTTCACCATCCTGTGAATGTCATACTTCCATTCTTATGGTCAAATTATTACGGTACAGGACTGGTTTGGCTACTATTTCCCCTCCAAGTATCCCTCAGGTTATTTCTGTCCTGAAAAAAGATGCCTCGTATTAGGGCCACCAAGTCTGCCAGCTACATTCACCATGCAGGATCCGCCTTCTTACACTGATTCTCACTTTATCATCACCACTGCCTCAAAAGTCACGGAGAGACCTCCCCACTGTCCATACCCTCTTGAGACTGCTCATGTCAGAGCCAAGGGAATGATTCCAATGGCTCCCAAAGCGTCCAAACCTTGGCAAAAAATGGCCTCCCCTTCCTGTGCTCACAAACTCTCAAAGTTGCCAACGGATGCAGACAGATGCTAGGGAAAGAGTGAGGGGTTTGCGCTAAAGCCCTGAGGTTCAGTTCAGTGAGCCCAGAGGGCCCGGTTCCTCACCTATTTGTCCAAAAAAAAAGGTCTGGGAGGGTTTACACCAAGCTGTCAACAGTGGTCATCTTTTATTATTCTGGAAGCTTCTCTTTTTCTTTTTTTGTATCTGTGGGTTTTATGATTTTATTCAATGAACCAGTTCTGATTTTGTGGCAGGACCAAAAAACACATTTTTAACTTAAAAAATTAAGCATTTTAAGTAGGAGATACATTACTGAAAGTAATTTTCTTAAACAGCAAACTTAAGAATAATTTCTGGCAAATGTTCAGTCATATTCTGATCTCTAATTGTGCCCCCAACACCAAGCCTCCTCCTGTCCCATCATTACTTACATTCCTGAAGACATTCTGTGTCTGTGCAGTAGGACTGGGACTGCCTCAACTACAATGAATAAGAAAAAAGGAAATTAGCCACCAGACTTACCAAAATGGATGTTACTTATCAGAAAGATCATGCTCTGTTTTTTAATGAACGCTACCACACTATCTATTGTACCTTCAAAATCAAATATCAGATAAAAATACAGAATACATACAGGGCCTGATCAGCTTGGTGGGATTTTTTTCTCCTCAACATAATACTCAAATATACTGTGATCTGGTGCAATTCACCTACTTAAATGAGGAATTTTAAAAAGTTACCTATGACAGAAACTCCCACTGCCATATGTTATTAGACTTACCAAGGGAAAAAGCACTTAACCATAGAGGAGAGCGACTAAAGAAATAGTAAACTTTGTTGACAAGACTTTTTTCTCACTTAAAATTAGAAGCAAAGAGAGAAAAACAAATTCTCTTTATAGAAAAGGCCTTTTGAAAGAAAGGAATTTTTTTTCCTTTTAGCTTACATCTGCATAAACAGTGGTTGGATAAATAAGAAACTAATAAAAATGATACCACAGCGGTTGGGCAGTGGGTTGGAGGAATAGGGTAGGTTCTGATGAGATGGGATTTGAAGTTTTGTCTTTCTTAACATAAAATTTAATTTTGGAACCATATGATCATGAATTTTACAAGATAACTGCAAAGAAAAGACCCATCTATCAATAAGCAGACATCATCCTTTTATGAATGTTCACCCTATGCTGAGGCCTTTTAGGATGTTTTAAAATGATAATCTCATATATCTTAAAAGAGATGACACAGAGTAAACAGAATGAGCACGCAACTTTTCAATTCAGCCTCATTACTTTATAATCACACCCTCTCTCCATTCAAGCAGTTTAACATCACTTGCAATTATTTGGGGAAGCCATTCCATGGCAGTTGTGCTTAGCTGGACTCTGAAGAAAGACAGATCTTGATTTAAAGTCAGGCTCTGCAACTTTCTAGAGTTTCAAGACCTTTGGCAAATTCTTTAACACCTTTAAGCTTTAGTTTCCTCATGTGCTAAAATGAGGATATTGCCTGTATATTAATACAGGTAAGAATTAAATACACAGCACATAAGAAATGCAGTGACAATCCGAGAGAGAAGAAATGTCACCTATTATTATTACCATGCTAGACAAATTATGACCTCATCTAAAATATCAGAATAAATCATCTTACAAATTGCTCTCTAAGATGACCAGACTTGCTTTTCTGTATACCACTAAGAGTAGTTCTATTTGAATTAGAATGGGAAAATAGACCTTAATTATTGTAAAAAAAAAATATGCTGGCTATCTTAAACCTTCCTAAACATGCAAAGAATGAATTAAAAAACCCTTTTATGCATTCTATGGCTATTATAAAAAAAGACAGTAAATAATGAGTGTTGGTGAGGATGTGGAGAAAAGGAAACCCTTGTACACCACTGGTGGAAATAAAAATTGGAAGCAACCACTATGGAAAATGGTATGGAAGTTCCTCAAAAAGTTAAAAATAGAACTACTATATAAATCAAGCAGTTCCACTTCTGGGTATTTACCTTAAGAAAACAAAAATACTGATACGTTTAATCAATGTGGAATAGGAGTACCTTATAATTATCATATTAGAAGTACATTTAAATACAAATATATTTTAATGATATGAATTTATAAATATTACTTTAAATTATAATTTAAATAATTATTTGTATTACAGTATAATACGAGAAACATTACAGAATACTTAGGAATTAATGTGGATTAATTCTCTGCCTAGTACAATTATCATTATGTTTTCTAGTCTTGAAAAATGCACAGTTTCACATAATTACAATCAATCACCAGGGTTCTTGGTGGCTCAATCGGTAAAGAGTCTGCCTGCAATGCAGGAGACCCAGGTTCAATCCTTGTGTGGGGAAGATCCCCTGGAGAAGGGAATGGCAACCCACTCCACTACTCTTGCCTGGAGAATCCCAAGGAGAGAGGAGCTTGGCAGGCTATAATCCATGGGGATGCAAAGAGTTGGACATGATTGAGCGACTAAACCACACATAATTACAACCAGTATAATAACAACTATTTACTAGGAATTTTTATGTGGTAGGGACTATACTAAGAATTTAGATAATCCTCACACTCACTGGAGGAGGCAGGGGCTATTATTCTTTCTTTACAGATGAAGAAATTTGAGTTTGGAGGAGGTTAGCTAATATATCCAGTACTAACTCTGAAGTCCAGATTTTAAATCCCAATTCTATTTTACTTTACAATGTACAAAATATTGTATCATAATTTTTATTAACATATCATTAGACTGAAACATTGTGTAATCAGCCACAATTCTGAATGGTTACAAAATATTCCAGTGAATTGATATACAACTGATATACAATTGAACCCGAAGCAAATTCAGAGTAAGGTGAAAATGACCATATCTAATTACCTAATAGCCTCTAAGATTAATACAGCCAATGTTTTCCTTCAGCACTAAAAGAGATCTCTTCCTTTCAGTATCACTACATGGAATAAGCTTCCTTTTTGGACTATGATAAAAAATAGTAATGTATAACTTGTCCTGCTATACAAACTTCTAGAAAACTAATTCACTCACATACAATTGACAAATACAGAAATTATGTCAGTTTTATGTGGTAGCTATGTTGGTTTAGAACTGATTTTTTTTCTAGATAAGGGAAGCCAGAAAGTGGGAAGTCAAATTACAACACATGCCTTGCAGAAAGAAGCCCTTTCAGCTTTAATAAGAATGTTACAAAGTGCCCGCACACATGCGCAAACACACACACACACACACACACACACACACACACGACCAAAAATGAAAAGGAATTATTCATTGAGAGCCTGGCTGACTGAAGCACTCCATCTCCAGTCCAAGCTGCAGCGAGCCTTGGGGACATTCCATTGCGAGCTGGAGTTGGATCCTGCTCTTCTGGCTGGCCTTCCACAGGTTCCTGGCTACGCTCGACATGTTCACAGGCAGACGAGGCTGCCGGCTCTGCATAATGAGGTGTCGAAGTATCATAACCACATTTCTAGTCCTGGACTTACACATTCTGTCCAAACCAGTGTGTTGGGATATATACTCAGTATGTCAGATTCAAACACTTATGATGGGTAAAGAATTAGAAAAACACATTTAGTCAAACAGGAGAATCTCACTGCTTTGATAAAACTCTTTATACAGAGGTCTAATTGACAGTGCATCTCAAGTTTTCTCTTGACTTATCTGAAGAATACGGTGGGACTAACTGATGCTGATTTTGGCCACTCCAAAAGGAAGTCATTTGTGAAAACAAAATAAATAAAAGAAAATCAGTAAACAACAAGGTCCTACTATATAGTACAAGGAGCTAAATTCAAAATTCTGTGATAAACCATAATGGAAAAGAATATGAAATACAATGTGTACATATATATATATATATAAAATACTGAATCACTGGTATATGACAGAAAGTAACAGAACACTGTAAATTAACTATACTTTTATTTATTAAAAAAGGATAATAATATAAGGGAAGCAGGCATAGCAGTAACTATAGGATGGAGCCATAAACTTCAAATATTTTCTGTTCAGTAGAGTTGAGTTGAGGGAACCACACACGGACCATTCACAGTCAGTGGTTGCTCCCCAGGTAAAACCTTCTGCTAAGTAACACTGATCCCAGGATCGCAGGGAAGAACTAAATGTAGATTTAGATTTCCCCACTTAACCAGGATGGTCATGTAAAGTTCCTTAAATGAATTAGCTTCAAAATCGATGAGACAAAATAGTATGGTTAGAATAAATGTTTTTCTTCATTGGGGAAAAAAGAAGAAAATAGAGATTAAAAGAATATAAGAGTCTTGGCACCGAGATTTCATGTTAGGGAAGATGTAGAACCTAAAATAGTCTCTTAGGATATCTAGGAAGCCTAATATAGAACTTTGGCTGTCAGAGGCTGATGGAAAAAAACATAGATCAAAGAGAAGACTCTAATGGCACAAAAGCAGATAAATGGAACTTCTATGAGGAATCTTAGCTTGGAGAAATTCTTTTAAAAAATTACAAGAAAAACAGAAAATCTCTCTTTGGGATTATCAAAAGGTATCTGTTATGGATGTTCGTATTCCCTCCACCCCTCCAAATTCATATACTGAAGCCCGACTCCCCAGTGTGATGGAGCTTGGGGGGTGGGGGTCTTTGGGCGGTGATGAGGTTCAGATGAAGTCATGAGGCTGGAACCACCCTGATGGGATTAGTGCCCTTATGAGAGGGGTGGGAACAGAGCCCACAGTCTCTCTGGGCCACGTGAGGATACAGCAAGGTGGCTACCTGAAAACCAAGGAAAGAGCCAAATCAGGAAGTGCCCTGATCTTGGACTTCCCAGTGCCTCCAGAACCATGAGAAATAGCTACTGTTTGAGGCCCCCGGTCTGTGGTGTTGTGCTAGAGCAGCCTGAGGCAACTCAGGCAGAACCTGAACAAGAACGTATTTGCTATCTTTCTGTGTCTACTCAAGAATCTCGTGCATATTAGAGGCGCTCTTCTTTCCCAGGCACAGGATCTACCTGCGGTAGATAAACTGAGAAACACTGTGATACAGAATAGTGGCTCAAAAAAGAAGCTGCAAAGTCAGAGGTATCTGGGTTCAGATTCTGTGTCTGTTACCTTCTAAAGCAAAGTTTCAAACGATAAAAGAAATAAATACAGTCTGTTATCAATATTAATATCATTGTGAGGATTAAAAGATATAACTAAACATATATAAAATTAAATATAAAATTAAATATAAAATGTATATAAAAAACTCAGGTCATGGCCCATGGTATCCTTTCAGATTACAGCATTACGCAGGAAAGGGCGGCCTGTTTATTTGAGTAAGCCTGCTCATAGTTATCACTTTTTTTTTTAAAGTGAAATGCCAAAACCAACAGCAAAAATGTACTTTCAAATCAATGGGTAAACAGTTGGTCAGTGTTCCCTGACCAGTCCTCATACAGTTCTCAGTAATACGGATGGCTTGAAA